CAAAGAACACATCCTTCGAACAAGAAATTAGCACATATCCTGCATCACTCTCATTAGTAGAATCAACAAGTATTTCAGGATTAGGTGCCTCTGGTTTCTCCAACCGCTCAAATGGAGTCATCAAGGTAAAAGTAGCGTGACTAGAGATTTGATACTCCTCTTGATGAGTTTTCTCTTCTTCATTTATGCCCTCAACATGAAAATCGCAAAGTTTAGATTCTGTGTCACTCTCTAAGAATGCATCCCAACTTCTTAACTCACTAACCCCACATATATCATCTAGGCAAACAGATCCTTGCCTAGAACAACTATGTTCATCATCATTGAGTAGGGAGTCAAAGAAGGCATCATCGGAGAATGTTTCCTCCAAATCACACGTTTCAATAACAACTTCAACAGGCATTTGGGCTTGTGTACGATGAACATCTTCATTAAGGCTATCCTTCAAGGATTCTTCAGGTGAGGGATCATCCATAGATGGTAGGGTAGGGCCGGTGTCACAAAGTATCTCCTCATCTATGGTCTCTTCATCAACTTCAGTGGGCACTTCCAGAATGAGTTCTTTAGGACTAAGTTCTATGAGGACAGACTCTAGCTCAGTAGCAATGAGAGGCTCAAAAGAAATAGGGGTGCAAAGAGTTTCAACCGTCTCGCCCATAGTTACCGCTGCCTCCTCCTCAGAATTAACACCTTCCTCGTATGTCTCCTTTTGAAATTTGTGTTCATTATCATAAATGATTTGTTCACACAATTTCTTGATACTCTCGTCACGAGATGCTAGTTCAATCCTTGCCCTTTTTAATTCTTCCACAAACTCGAGCAAGGATGATTTTAATTTTTCGAGCTCGTGTTCAGGATAAGGTGAAATTCCAGAGTCAACCTCGTAGGAGTACTCGTTTGTGCCGGTGTAATGATTTTCTAGCCCTTCGTGGTAATTTTCATAATAATTAAAATTATCATGATAATTACCTTGATAGGAAAAATCATCATGGCGTTCAAAGTTTTTCCCTTTGTGGAAATAGTTATCTTGAAATTGGTAATCTCCATATCCCAAAGGTGGATTTTCGCACCATTGATTGTTATCCTCATAACCTTGCTCATAATATACTTCATTTTGATTATTTTGAAAAACTTGTTGTTCATAATATGGATAGTGATATGGTGGATGAGAATGAAAGTTTTCGCTTGAGTAATCCATGAGAAAATCTCAAGCAAACACGTGAGAACAAAACAAAAAAGAAATAGAAAGTCTCCCTAACTTGAATTTGCCCATGCTAAAATCAAAATCAAGAATTCACCGTGCCATTCCCCGGCAACGACGTCATTTGATAACCGCTTTCGCGACGTTGTAGTAAAACGGAGTCTAAACTTTCAGTTTTTTCCCGAGTATCGTGTCTCTTGAGGAATGGCGGAGGAGTTTCTTGATTTTAAGCTCAGTCACAGGTTATCACAAATTATTGGAAGCTTTCCAAATTAAAACTTTTGATTGATTTTCTAAACTAGTTTTTGAAAAATAAAGTAATTAAATTATGCAAATACTAATGATGGCTCAAAAATAAACTAAATGAAAAATATTAAACTCTAAATGGATTGATCAAAGAAGGGCAATGAATTGAATAATTAGAAATGGATATATTCTTGGACCTAGTAATTAGGGGAATTTAAAACTAAGATTGGACTAAAAATTTCTTTTCTCATAGACAAGAATAGAAATTACTTTCATTAATTTATCCTATTTCTAGGTTTCATTAATGTATTCAAAAATGGTTGGCTTGAATTAAATTCTAATCTCATAGACAAGGCAGAAATAATTCTCCAAAATTTTAATTAATAAAAATAGCCAAATTCATTAACTAATTAAATTCATTATTTAAGCAATTTGAATTTATTTCTCATAGACAAGATGTAAATCCATTTCATTAAAATTTCCTATTTCTAGGCCTTATTAACGTGCTTGAATATGGTTGGCTCAAATTATTTTCTAATCTCATAGACAAGTTAAAAATAATTTTCCAAAAGTTAATTAATGAAAATGGCTAACAATTATTAATTACTAATTCATCAATTTGAATAACTAGCCCAATTAATTAATTTTAACCCCTAATTTTCGGCTAACAAGTCAATCCATATTCTTTTACTCAATTCATGCCCAAAACAATTTTAGCTACTAAACATTATTTTTGCATTTAACAATATGGTAAATAAATTAACCATTGACAAGGAATTAAACATGTATAATAGCAAAAATTAATCAAAAATAAGATCTTGTCAAAATAAACTTTCTGGAACTACAATATGACTTTTGGAATTTTTCACGAATTTTTAAACCTAAAATCCAATTTTAACCTTAATTGATAATTTTCCCACTTTTAACTATAAAATACAAAAGACAATTAAAAATAGGCTAAATTCGTTCTAAATTTTCTATTGACTACTGGCGGTGATATTACAGTGAAATAAACTGGAATTAGGGCCGAAAATATTTTTTTTACTCTTTTTAAGTAATTAATTTAATTTATGCAATAATAACAACTAATTACTAAAATTAATTAAAAATTACTTCTGCTTCGGGAAAATTAACTTTCTTCAGATAAATAACAACCTTGAGGCTAGTAAACAACTACTTCGTATATAATTAATTGGAATGAATTCATCATCAACAACTATTTTATTTAATTTTTGGAAGAAAATGTGAAATACTTGATAAATATTCTGGAAAAATTCAAAGAACAGATCGAGAAAACAAAGCACAGATTCAGATTCTACTCGTTGAGAAGATGAAAATACATATAAAGAACTTACAAATTGGAACTAAAATGAAAAAGATATGAAAGATTGAAGTTGAAGGTGCAACAATGGTGGAAATCCGAGCTTTGAAGAGGAAGAAGACCTTTTTGAACTAGTTTCGGGCTAAGAATGGTGTGTTTGAGTTCAGCAAAAATCAAGCTATTTATTGCAAGAGAAATCTCGTAGGCGGCCAAACAGGCGGCCGCCTGCCACCTTGCCCCGGCCGCCTTCCGTCCCATCACCGGCAATCGAACGTGCCGCACGTCACTTCGCCGCAGGCGGCCACGGAAGGCGGCCGCCTGCCGTTTCTGTCTGGCCGCCTGTTGTCTTTTCGCACCGACGGTCGTTGTCTTTGTCGTCTTTTCCCGTAGGCGGCCGCGAAGGCCTCCATGTTTGGCCGCCTATTTGGCCGCCTTCCGTCGAAGCCTTCGGTCTTCTTCCCGCTTCGAGTCAAAGCCTATTTTTTTGATTTTTCCGTAGGCGGCCGCGAAGGCCTCCATTTTTGGCCGCCTACTTGGTCGCCTATGAGGTTGTTTGACCGTCTTGTTCTGTATTTTGTGCTCTTCAACTTTCCCTTCTGGACCACTTTGAAATTCTGCTTCCTTCTTTCGGTATGATATCATTTTTCACTCAAATTGACTCATTGTGTGCTTAATTGATCCGGAATTTCGTCAAAGATATCATGGACGTGGTTTTTACCTGATTTCACGAAACTTGAACCAAAATATATAAAACATGCCTTTTTTATGTTGTTTAATCCAAAATCGCTTAACTTTGATAAGAAAAATAAGTACAAAAATGGACTTATCAGAGAGCTTTGGAGGATTCCCCTCCTCCTTGGGTTTCCATTCTTGATTTCTCCATGACCCTCCTGATTTCTTTATCACTGGAGGAGGAAGGGTGAATGATATGTTTACCTGTGGACCGAGGTGGTCCCTTAGAAGCATTATCAGGATTATCGTCATCATTATCCAGATCATCATCACTTGAATCTTCAATTGTATCCTTGGCAGTGAGCTGCTTCCTTTTGATTGTATAAACCTGGTTGATTTTTAGTAACCTCGTTGCTTCTGCCATGTCATCAGTCCCAAGCCACTCCACCACAAACTCTTCTTCGTCGATGAAGTGTGCTAGGGTTTCAACTTGATGGAGGATTCTTGAGAGCTTCCATGATCTCCATGCCTTGACTCTGGCAAATTCTGCATCTAATTGCTCTAGAGGAGTCAGGACAGATGAGGCCACTGCTGGTGATTGAGGAGCCTGCTCGTCTAGATGAGCCATCTGCTCTGTTTGATGAGTCCCCAGCTCTTCTAGGTGAGCCGCCTGCTCGTTGATTTGAGTGGCCTGCTCCATTTCTTCAGGAGCCACCTGCTTTCCCTGTTGAGTTATCCTGGGAATAAGTATTGAGAGGGAGACGGCAGAGCTGTTGCTGGCATAGAAGGAGTTGGGGGACTCTGCTTCTTCATTGATAATGGAGAGAGGTGAGGCTACTGCTTCTTTGTTAACCAAGGCAAGAAGGGAGGCGACTGCTTCTTCTTGACTAGGTGCTAGAAGTGAGGTTGCTTCTTCTTCTTGAATCATGGCTAAGGGGGAGGCTACTGCTGCTTGCATAGATGAGGCTGCCTCCTTTAATTCTTCTTGGAGGTTTCTTGTTGCTATTCTCTGCTTCTTTGATTGAATTGCCTTGCACCCAGACCGAATTCTCTTTGCAGTCTTTGTTTTGATCTTGTCAAGTGTGATTTGAAGAGGCTCATGAGATGGAAGAATGTCATCTTGCTTTTGGATAATCGGAGCCCCTGCTTTGGAAGTTTGATGGAGAAATTTTCTCCAGTTGGTTGCTTCTTTAATCTCTCTTATGGTTCCCTTCCTCTTGAGTATTTCCCCAATTAAGAACCCATATCCCACTAGTGGAAAGGTTCCATCATCCCTTCTATCCTTGTGAGATTTGTCTACGTATCTGATAAGTTCTTTGAAAACATACCTTGACCAGTTGTGAGGTGAGCCTGAGATAATTGCGGCCAGAGCGGGTTCCCTTTGTGCGTTGATTTCATCTAGGGCGGTAGTTCGATTGTCAATGCACTTGTAGAGGATGTCCAGGAGCAGAGAATATTCTTGAACCATCATGCTTTTCTTTACTTTAAGAGTGTTGAGGTGTTGAGCCTTTGGAGGGAACACAATCTCTTTGAAGGCTGCCTCATCAATGGTGATATCATCGACATTTGGGGCTTCATCTCCAGGTAGGGAGAGCAAAATTCTTATGTCTCCTTCTTTGATTTCTACCGGCCTTCCTTTGATGACTGATTGAAGAGTACCTGGTTGAGAGTTCAGGTAGAATTCGGCCACTACTTCTGGGTAGAAGTATTCATAGGGGTAAGTTGCCATTTTCATTAGCCTCGCTATCTCTAGCTTTCTCAGAAGATCCCTCATTTTGTCAGGGTTTTCTGTTTTCTCAATGATTTTGGGAGTGTTTACAATAGACCCGGTGGATATGGATTTGGCGATTTGAATGAGGGAGGCCATTTTTGTGTAGATGGGGGAAGGGAAGGATTTGCGATGGTAGTGTATAAGAGAGCTTTTAAGAATGTTAAGAGAGAGTTTGAGAGCTTTAGAATAGGTAGAAAGAGATTGCAAAGTAAAAAGTGTGAAGGGTTTGTACGGAGGGAGTATTTATAGGCTATCGGGAACTAGCCATTGGAATATAGCCGTTGGAGAATATTGCAGGCCTTTTCAGCATTAACGGTGTTCACACTGTTAGCAGGGGGCTCAATTTTGAGTAAAGTTTTGAAGGTTTCTGAGAACAAAAGTTGGCTTTTTGGAATCCTTGATATTAGGGGATCAAGATGATGTATGTCACTTGTTGAGATTCCATGAGCATTTGTCAGAAATTGAGCCAACTGTTGGCCTGAAGCAATGCCCTGCTCCTGAGGCAGTCACCTGCGCGAAATCTTGAGCTAGTGTTTTGAGAAAATGTGCATTTTCTTTCTTTTTAAAAGTAGCAGTGGGCTAGTAGCCAGTCGCCTGCTGAGCCCACTGCTTGCTAGGATGCAGTCAACTGCTGAGCCAATTTTGTGAATTTTGACTCCTTTTGATCTTGATATCCTGATAGTGACTTATTTGGACTTTGATGCTTCATTCCTTTGATGTTTTGAGTAGCCTACCTTTAGCACGTGGCTACTCCTGAGTACTTTACAGAAATTCCCCCTCAGCAGGTGGCTGGGAATTCCCCCTTAATTTTTGAATCAAATTCCTCCTGAGTTGATGCATGATTATTCCTTCACTTGATCTAGATCATCTAACATTCCAAGCTCTTGCCTTAGTTGGTTGAATCTAGCTTCATTCAATGGCTTGGTGAAGATGTCAGCCAACTGCTTATCTGTGGGGATGTACTCAAGCTTGATGGTTTTCTTCTCAACATGCTCTCTGATAAAGTGATGTCTGATCTCAATATGTTTGGTTCTTGAATGAAATACCGGATTATGAGTGATAGCAATAGCTGTGACACCCCAAAGATTTAAATAGAAAATTTACTAATGATATAAAGATAAAATAAAAGTAAATCTGATATAATGGGTTTAAAAAAAATAAAGTGAATAATAAATCAGATAAAATCAACCTAATAAAATTAAGCCAAATATAATTTGTGATGAAAACAAAACAAAATGTGAAATGAGATGATGAAATAATACATAAAAATAATACCATGCATAGATATAACACCTAATGTATAGTACGTGTGTATATAGCATATTACATACGGAGTACACACGTATCACATTCATCATACATACATAATATGTATCCAATACATACATCATACTTATTTAGTATATATGCTACATACACGTAACTTAATTATTACATACGGAACTATAAGAGAAAAATGAGGCTAACGGATCTGGAGCTATTATTAAGGTAGTAATACTCTGTAGTAAAGATACAGAATAACAAAGGAGTACTCATATATAACAGCAGCAGCTTCACGGATATATATATATCACATACACGCACATACATATACCATATACTTACACGCACCCATATACATCGGCATGTAATTATGTACTGATCTGTAACCGCTCGTTCATATACTCATCATAATAATACACATAACGGCAATAATGAAAGAAAACCAACGGAACCGGTTAGTAATTTCGATGAGCAATAAAATACTATAGAGTTCCCACAGACGACATATATGTGGTCCATCATATAATGAGCAGATATATACATATAAAATGTACTCGTCTGCAGCTGGCCGGGAGGGGAGGCGAACAAACCAAACGAACATAAACACATGTACAAGAGTGAAAGAAAATTTCAGTAAAAAAAGAGAAAAAAAGAGAGCGTACGTAGTCAGAGAGGGCAGTAGAAGTACCAGGCTGACCTAAGCCGGAGGATAGAACGTCGCCGCCACCAAAGGAGATGAAACGGAGCTCGCCGGAGAAGTAACCCAGCTGCTACACCGGACCGTCGGACTGCTGAAACGGAAAATGTGTTGGCCGAGCCTTGTCTCCAGGTCTCTGTGTCGTCTGCAGCGTGGGATAGACGTCGGAATGCCTTCACGACTTCGTCGAAGTTAGTCTGCGATTCTGCGAAGAAGAAGAACCGCTAAGGAGAAGCACACCCGCCATGCCGCTGCCGACCAACGAACTTCCAGGCTGTCGACGAGTGACGACGTAGGAGGAGAAACCGCAGGGAGAAGAGGTCACACTCGCGGCTCACTGCTACCTGACGCTGAAAGCGGAGATCACCGTTACTCTGTTAGCTTTGACAATCGCGAAAGCGTACTGTACGTCTTTCCTTTATCTCCGTATTATTTTACGTTGTATCCTAATGAAGTAAAATAGGTGGCTGAAATATTAGTTCTTGGGCTGGCTGAAAATGAGTGCTGAATAACAATAGTTCGCTGTTGCGCATGTGAATTCAAATAATGGAGATTGATTGTAAGAGCTGGAACAATAATAATAAAATAACAAGAGACGGAATTTATAATCAAAGGGTAGAGGAATTAAACAATGGTCAAGTAATATATTGTCTTTAGAATTTTTAATAGAAGGTGATTGGGTGAAGAAGAAGAAGGTAGAAGATTTTCCTAGAGTGCTTGGAGTGTGTGAGGTAAGTTTCTATGTCAATCTAAAATCGTTTCCTCGTATTATATATGTACTATGTGATACGTGATTTTAGTGTGAGTTATGATGTATATGCATGTGATTTTGAAGTTGTTCCATCTGTGATATTTGAGAAGTGAAACTAAGTGCGTTTGAGTATTAAATATTTTATTTAAACATTTTCGAGGCAGTTTGAGAAATTGGGGAAATATTTTGAAGTATATTAATTCAAGATAAAAGAATGATTTCATAAGAGGTAGGCATCTCGGGAGTAATCCGGGGTGTCGGTTTTCCACGTCCCTTAAAATGTGGAGGGTGGTTAGGGCTACTACTAAGAAGAAGAGATTTTTGAGTAACTTCCGGATCGATGATCCCTTTTAAGAAGCAGAGTTGTAGTAGTAGTCTCTAATCATTCAGAGATATATATTATTCAGGGGTAGTTGGTAGACTGAGTCCCGATTACTCGTGACGACTTACTACTCGGAGGGCTTGGAATCCCTTTTAGAGGGTGTGCACACTTAAGGTAGTCGTTTCGTTTCCACAAGAGCGTTGTGGTACCGGCATTGATCGGGGTGGCCTTCCGTAACCACGGTTCACCGGGCTCAGCCGAAAGGTTGAGCACCGCCCTTCTAAATTACTAGGAAGTTAGTAAAGAAGAGATTTTTTGAGAATTTTTGAGAGAAGAGTTATTATAATATTTCCGAAGAAAAGTTGAGGATTTAAGTAAAGAAGTAATTTTGAGAAGAATCAAAGAGAAAAGAATTTTGGTGGAGTGTGTTATTTTTATACAGTATTATATGAAAAAAACTATTTTCGCCAAACCTGATTATTTTACGGGGTTGGGTAGTACTTACTTAGCTCTAAAGCTAATTTTTGTTATTTTTCTTGTCCCTATATCCCCCATTAATTTTTAACAGGTGATGAGTTGGATGCTTATGATGATTGATGGATTGCATGCGATTGAGAGCGAATTAGAAGATGCCTTAGTCAAACCTAGTCAAGAAATAAACATTTATGTATTATGACATTAGTTTTATTGTTTTGTTTTGGTTTGCCTGTGCATTCGGTTAAGAGATGACCGGATGTGGCGGTAACACCCATTTTCCTATTAAGACTTCCGTTGTATCTCTGATGTTTTCAAATAAAGTTGATAATTCCTTTGAATAAATCAGCATTTAAATGTATTTTTGGGCGGGAAAAATGGGGGTGTTACAATAGCACTAGTGTTATCACACAGTATGCTAATCTCCTTTGTTTCTTCTCCATAATCCCTCAATCGATGTTTCATCCATAGTATTTGTGCACAGCAGCTGCCTGCAGCTATGCATTCAGCTTCAGCAGTGCTAGTAGCAATTGAGTTTTGTTTCTTGCTGAACCAAGAGACAAGTCTTCCACCAATTAATTGACAAGTACCTGAGGTACTTTTTCTATCAATTTTGCATCCGGCAAAGTCTGAGTCTGAGTAGCCATAGAGTTCAAAACCTCCATTTGTTGGGTACCATAATCCAGAGTTAGGATTACCTTTTAGATACCTCAAAATTTTCTTTGCAGCTAGAAGATGGCTTTCCTTTGGTTTTGATTGAAATCTTGCACATACACCAACTGAGTAGGATATGTCTGACCTACTAGTGGTGAGATATAATAAGGATCCAATCAAACCTCTATAAAGTGTAGGATCAATATCCTTGCCATCTTCATCTTGACTTAGACCTTGTGATGTGTTCATGGGTATCTTGAGTGTAGACTTGTTCTCAACTTTGAACTTTTTCATGAGATCTCTTGTATATTTGGTTTGGTTGATGAAGATACCTTGAGGTGTCTGCTTTACTTGTAGTCCCAGAAAATAGTTCAACTCTCCCATCATGCTCATTTCAAATTTGCTTTGCATGAAAGTTGAAAATTTTTCACATAGTGCTTGATTTGAGCTTCCAAAAATTATGTCATCAACATAGATTTGAACAAGCAGTATGCGGGGACCTTCTTCTATTTTAAACAGAGTTTTGTCTACGTTTCCCTTAGTGAATCCATTATTCACTAAGTATTCAGAGAGAGTGTCATACCATGCTCTTGGGGCTTGCTTGAGTCCATAAAGAGCCTTGTGTAATTTGTAGACTTGATCCTTCTCTCTATTGATTTCAAAACCAGGAGGTTGCTCCACATAGACCTCTTCTAGTAGACCATTTAGAAAGGCACTTTTCACATCCATTTGATAGATTGTGAATTGCTTATGAGCAGCATAGGCCAAGAAGATTCTTCTTCCAGTCTGACAACATGAGCAAAGGTTTCATCAAAATCTATACCTTCTTCCTGGTGCCTTATTCTTGACTATGGTGCCTTCCTCATCCATTTTGTTCCTGAATACCCATTTAGTTCCTATCACATGTTGATGATAGGGTCTGGGTACAAGCTCACTTACATTGTTTCTCTCAAACTGATTGAGTTCCTCTTGCATGGCTTGTATCCAATCTGAGTCAAGTAGGGCTTCTTCAACTTTCTTGGGTTCAATTTGAGAGATGAAGCATGAGAATAGTGCTTCTCTCTGAATTGCTGATCTGGTACGAACCCCAGTATTAATGTCTCCAATTACTTGGTGAGGAGGATGTTTATTCATCCATCTGATGTCAGATGTTTTTGTTTTGATTAGAATTTGAGTATCATCCTCCTCCTCTTCTTCACTATCATCTGGTAGAATAGGAAGGTTGGGAATGCCATGAGTGCTTGGAAGGTTGTCTTTTGGTGAGTCACCTGCTGGCAGTGGGCTGATAGTTGAGTCAACTGCTGGCAGTAGGCTGCCATTTGAGTCAACTGCTGGCAGTGGACTGTCGTTTGAGTCAACTGCCTTTCCATCCTTTTTAATACTATTATTTGGAAGGCAGCTTGAAGCCTTTCCAGTGTCCCTTGATTTGGATGACTCACCTTCATCTTTTACTTGAGCAGTGGGGTGGTTTTCAAATACCACATGGATTGATTCTTCTACCACCAGAGTTCTTTTGTTGAGAATCCGGAATGCCTTGCGAGTTGTTGAGTAGCCCAGGAAGATCCCTTCATTAGATTTGGGATCAAATGGCTTGAGATAGTCTTTTCCATTGTTTAGGATAAAGCATTTGGATCCAAACACATGGAAATGACTAACATTAGGATTCCTTTCTTTCCATAGCTCATATGGTGTCTTCTTGTGAATCTTATGAATAAGACTTCTATTTTGAGTGTAGCAAACTGTGTTGATTGCTTCTGCCCAAAATCTTTTGGGTAATCCGACTGCTTCTCAAAGTGTCCTTCCTGCTTCCTTGAGTGTCTTGTTCCTTCTTTCAGCAACATCATTTTGTTGAGGTGTTCTTGCTTCTGAGGTTTGATGATGGATTCCATTTTCTTCATAGTACTGAATTATGATGGAGTTGAGAAATTTAGTACCTTTATCTGATCTGATCTTCTGGATTGAGAGACTCTTCTCATTTTGAATTAGCCTCATCAGTTCAGGCAGTTTCTTCTCTGTTTCATTCTTCTTCTTTAAGAATATGGTCCAAGTGTATCTAGAATAATCATCAACTACAACCAAGGTGTACCTTCTACCACTTAAGTTTGTTGGTTCAACTGGTCCAAACAAGTCAAGGTGTAGTAGGCTTAAGGGCCTAGTTGATGATTCCACTTCTTTTGATTTGAATGATACATTGGTTTGTCTCCCTTTTTGACAAGCATCACAGAGGTGGTCCTTTTTGAAGTTGATTTCAGGGAGTCCTTTCACCAAACCTTTTCTGGACAGTTTGTTGATTGTTTTGAAGTTTAGATGGCTTAATTTGTTGTGCCATTCCCAACTTAAGTTTGAATCTGCCTTTGTCACTAAGCAGATTCCTTCCTTTGCAGAGCTCCAATCAACAATGTACATGTCCTTCTTCCTTCTACCAGTGAGCACAATTTTGTCATTTTTGACATCTCTAATCAAGCAGATGTCTTTGGAGAATGTAACATTATAGCCATTGTCACAGAGTTGGCTTGTGCTTATGAGATTGAACTTTAAACCCTTAACATAGGATATGTTTTGGATTGTAAGTCCATTAATTGATAAGTCTCCAGCTCCTTTGGTTTCTCCTTGTTTTTCCACATTTCCAAATGTTACTTTGGGTCCTTCCCTTGTTGTATAGTTTGACAGGAGCCGCCTGCTGCCCGTCATGTTCCTGGAGCAGCCTGAATCTATGTATCATGTTTGTGTTTCAGCTGCTCCAGCACCTTCCTGTATAAATTAATGTTGAGCAGTAGCCCACAAGTTAGTGGGCGACTTCCCCTGTACAAGTTTGGGCATCCATGTCCATCTAGAACCATTGAGTTCTAAGTGGATTGGTCTATAGCCATTTGAGGTGTTGTAATCAAAAGGAATGGCTATGTACTTGTTAATCCTTTTCCTTCTTGAAGTGGGAAGTGGATTATTGATTTGAGGAGTCTGCTTGGCATTTTGGCTGTGGTTGGTCTTATTGATTGGTTGCCAACGGGTTCTTTGGTTTAGATGGTGAGGGGGTGTTGATTTATACAGGTGTTTGGATTTTGGTTTGGGAGCAGGTTGGTTCCTTCTTTTGGGAACATTTGGGGGATGGGTTTTTTGGTAGGTTAGCTTTCTTGTGTATGATTTGTGGCTTGTAGATGTACAGTTTTGAGTGAGTCTAGTGGGGGATGAGTAACCAAGACCTCTTCTCTTCCTATTTAGAGTAACTTCAGCGGTAGGGTGAGAGT